CAGGTTTTCTTCCAGAATGGCCCCTGTTTTTTTGGCCCCATCCATTTTTTCCATAAATTTTTTGACCTTTCTTCCCTGTCCCTGTTTGCCCAAAAAAGCGGGCCCCCAAACCCAAATGATGTTTCCACCCCATTTTTTGCCAGGGGGGGAGGGTTGTTTTCCCAGGGTGAGGCTGTGTTGTTTTAAAGCCAAACTTTCTTTTTTGCATTGGGGCCCCAAAACGGGTTCGATTTTGGTTTCACGGCCCGGGTTCCCTTCTTTCCACATTTTGGTGTGTCTCCCAGGTGGCTTGGGGAAAACCCCTTTAAACAAACTTTTTATGGATATCTTTGAAAAATAGCTTTCTTCTTCCCCACTCCTCCAAAAAACCCCAAAATTTGTGCAGTGTACGAAGATTGTTGTCCTAGGGAAACAGACCCTCCCCCCTTTCACTGTAGATCTCTGCAGTTCTGCAGAGTGATCATGGGGCCTTTTTGGCTGCATCTTGATCAGTCTTCTCATTTTTTCGAGGGTGAAAGTTTTGGGGACAGTGGGTCTTGGTAATTTTTCAGTGGTTGTACTCCTTTTATTTCCAAATATTGCTTGACAGTGTCCTTGGGGTGTTTAAAACTTGGGAAAACTTTTTTACCAAAAACCGGCTTTAAAAAATTTTTCCCCCAAACCCGTAAACTCGGGCCTGCCTGGGGGTGTTCCTTGGGTTTTTGATGCTCTCTGTGCTTTGAAAAAGAAAACCCTTTTAACTATCACAGAGCAGGTGCTTTATACGAGGGCTCGATTCACAGTGGGTTCTATTTTCATCATCAGTCTTTGGGGCAAAACTGGATCATTCAGAGATCCCACTGAAAATTCTGGAGTGAGTTTTCGCAATGAAAATAAAGGGGGGCCGGGAAAAATTTTGCAAAAGCCCCCCTTTTCCATTTATTTGTTAAAAATTTTTACACATCCCAAAAAAATTTCATTTTTCCTTTTATGGGTTGTTTCCCTTGGTTTATTCTTCCCAAAAAAAAATTTGAATTTTATATCTTTTTTTTTGAAACCGAAATGTGGCAAAAGGTTTAAAAGTTCAATGGGGCCGAAATACTTTCCCCAAAGGGACTGTATATAAAATAAACCCCCATACATAAAAAAGTATTAACAAAAAATTAAACTCCCCTTTTAAAAAATTCCCAATTTAAAAAACTCTTTTTTCTGGCTAGTAACATTCAGCTAAGTTACTAAGTAAAAATGAAAGAATAAGGAAAATTAACAAACTATAAGAAAGGAACAGAAGAATAAAACTGAAACCCATAAGCAAAAAATGATGGAATGAAACTTGTCTTATTTCCGGATACGGTTGTCTGATGCACAAACAGATCTTACTTAACTTCTTTGGATATAAGGAAGTAGTCCTTTATTCGGCAAGCGAGATCATGACATGCAGATTCTCCCACGCATGTATTCCCTTCCCTGGCCAAAGCGACTGGAGAAGGGCTTAGGCAGATGTTGTCCAGTGAAGCAAATGGTTTATTTACAAAAAAGTGTAAAAAAAAAATATTTACAAAAATACTAAAACCATTAACTCATAAGCTAACATTGTGCAAATGATCATAATTGAACTTAAAGCAACCAAAATGAATGTCAAGTGCACTCAGCTACACTAAACGGGATCTCTCCTCCTGAGTGACTGAAGCTCTCAAGCTATTCCAACAAAATGGTCTACAGTGGGAATTTCCAAATAATAGATAAGACTAAACATTACTATCCTGAACCTATTGATGCTACTTCCTGCCAGCAGCATTTAAACAACTTTTCGAGTTTAACCATTACATTAAAAAATAGTGTTGGACCACTTGTTTGCTGAATATTGGGCCATTTACACATTGCTGGACACCACCAGGCCTTCTGACATCATCGGCCATTTTGTATCCAGTATTGGCCCCCCACTACAAAAACCCAGTGGGCACTGCGGTGGTTTGGACGGGCGTCCCAAGTCTGACGTCACAAGAAGGGTCTGACCGTCACACGAGGGTTTTATTTGGGAAGGCGGACGCTTTAAACCTTTGCCTTTGCTGGGGACCCCGACACGGTTACCACGCAACTGAAGCATCGTCTGGAGAAGAAGAGGGCCCCCCGTGGAGTCTTCATTTTTTCTCCTTCGTTGGCCCCGAAAAGAACGTTCATGACAGAAATTCCTGGAAAAAAGAAAAGGGGGGAAAATTTTCAACTTTTCCCTCGAAGGTTGTTAGTTTAACACGTAACCAAAAAACCCAGAAATTTTAAGGAGACGGATCGCCCCTTTTTTTTTGTTCTAGTCGACTGCTGACGGTCAGATAAAAATTTTTTCCCCTTTCGCCAAGGAGGGCCCAAAAGGACGAAAATTTTACCGCTCTTCCCGAATTTAACCGTTGGGGGGGGGGACGCACGATAACTTCCAACTTTCCCCCTCCTCCTCTCCCCTCACGCTGGCAGCCCTGAAGAATTGCTCCACAAAGTAATACCCATCTTTTATTATTTTCTTTGTTTTTTTATTAGGAGTAGTCTGGCAGGGTAGAGAGATAGGACTTTTTTAGTGCGATCAATCGCAACTTATAGTCTGATGTTTGAAATTTTTTTTTTGCATCAAAAATTGTATTGAACTCTGATGTGCTGTATTTTATCGCTGAGGCCGCCGTGTCTCATGAGTTTTTTTGGTCTCTACCATGCGAACACCGGAGCGCCGGTAATACTGGACTACGACAGTAACCCCCATGGTGAAATTCACCATTTTTTTTTGTTCCACCTTCACTGCTTGCCTCTTGCCGCCAAAAAGGTTTATGACTCTTTGTAAACGAGTTTACAAAATTTGCTTTGGGGGTTTTTTGACAGCCCGTGTCCCCCTGTGCTACCTTTTTTGGGGGCTGTTTTCAAATTCCGTTAAACACCACATTCCTTTGTCATATTACCACTTTTCCCATAAACTGCTGGTTGATTCAATACACACACACTGCTTTTTTGCTTTTTTTTGTTATTAGATATTTTATCCTTTTGTGTAGAAAACTTTGCATGTTTTGAGAGGGAAAAATTTTTGAACGGAGAGTTTGATTGTATCAGGCGATTGTTTTAATACATTTTTCCCCGGGATAAAGAGAAGGCGTTTTGTGTTTATTTTGTGCAAGAGTGAATTGTTAGTCAAAATAAGCCAAAGTTCCCCACGTTTCGGGCAGAAACGGTTTTGATTAAACGTGACTTTTAATAATTGTAATTATCAAGGGGCCCTTTGAGCCAAAATTTCAACACCAAGGACAGCTCTGTTTCAATTCAAAAACGAGGATTTTGGTTAAGGAGTTAATTTTATCGGATTATGATTTTATTTATAATTCTTGATAAATATTCAATTAATCAATAATCTATAATTACAACAATAGTATATAGAAACTAAGACAAACAAAGTAGCTTAAGTTGACTTTAATTCAAATTCCAAAAATGCAGTTTATTTATATAGCGCCAATTCACAACACACGTCGTCTCAAGGCACTTCACAAAAGTCAGGTACATACATTCATTAATCCGAATCATTGAACAGTGCAGTCAGATTCTGTTTTTTTTCAAATTGGATAAAAATTTTGTCTATCTAAGGGAAACCCCGAGATTGCATCCAGTCAGTGACTTGCAGCTTCACCCCCCGGATGAACATGTAGAGACAGTGGACAGTCACTGGGTTGACTTTGCAGCATCCCCCCAACTGAGCATGCATGTAGCGACAGTGGAGGGAAAAAATCCTTTTAACAGGGAAGAAACCTCCAGCAAACCCGGCTCGGGTGAGCGGCCATTTCCACGACCGACTGGGGTTAGAGAGAACAGAGCAGAGACACAAAGAGAACAAAAACATGATCCAGGAGTACTTTTATGGGGGGAAAGGTAAATGTTAATGGATGTAGCTCCTTTTGTCGTTTCACCTAGAAAGAAAGACAGATAAAATCTGCGCCAGTTTTCAATGTTAGAGTCTGAAAGAGAGCACATAGAGTTTTTAAGTAAAAAACTCTGTCAGTAGCTATGTCTAGAGAGAGAAAGGGTTAAAAACGAAAGACAGGGCCATGTGGATTATCGGAGAGGTGAGCATTACGTTGTTGCCAGCAGAAGCTCGGACGATGCCCCTCTCCAGAAAGTTGTCACAGGAAACACAGAGTCAGGCCCCGGTGTAGCTTCTAGGAAGAGAAAAGAGAGAGAACAAAGTTAAAAGCTGAATAACAGCAAAAAATACAAAATTGAAGAGGTTGGGTGTGAAAAAGGTAGCGAAGAGGGTGAAAGTGGTCATTATGTCTCCAGCAGTCCAAGCCTATAGCCACAAAACTACAGAGGGGGGGATAGCTCAGGATAACCTAAGCCACTCCTAACTATAAGCTTTTTAAAAAGGAGAGTTTTAAAAAAGCCTAGCCAAAAAGTAGACAGTTTGTGCCCCATCTAGAGGCCCACTGATGGCCATTGTTTACAAAAAAACCACAACGATTGGGATATCTCTCTCTGTCAGATTGACCATAACCATTGGAAAAGAGAGGGGGTCATACAGGTAGCAGAAATGGAGGGTGTGTTTGCACCTCAACCATAACTGAGCCGGTTATGGTTAATTTTATGAAATTAAAAACATTTATTTTTCCCTCTCTTCACCTGGTCCCTTCCTGTGACATCAGGTTTATACGGAAAGCTATAAATACAGGAAGCTATAAATACAGGAACCTATGCAGCACTTCCTCCTTTTAGGCAAGACGATTAAATCATGTAGATTTTAATTAACGGCAGTTTTTACAAAATTATTTCAGTGTCTTTTAAATAAACATTTTGTTTCAAAAATAACTCCTGTCCCAAAGAGGGCCAAAGCATCAGGGTTGGACGACTTTTGACCTATATCACTGACTAGTATTTTTTGCAAGTGCATGAAAAGGGTCTTTTTTTTTTTTTTGCAGCACTACAGGCCTTTATTGTTAATATTTCGATACTAGGTAGACAGGAAAGAGGGGCAAAGAGAAGGGGAGACATTCGGCAAAGGTCACTGGGTCCGGGACTTGAACCCAGGGCAGCTGCACCGAGGGCTATGGCCTCTGCACATGGGCGCGCTTAACCCCTACACCACCAGCACTGCCCCTGGATCAGTTTGCATACAATGTACAGTGTAGCATCGGCGATAGAGGTACTCCCGATGCTACACTGTTCATTGATAAATAGAGTCAGTAAACCTTCTGCTGGCACCCCTAGAAGTTATTTTTTTGTATTTTTTTAATTTGTAGTTTAGCCTGTTAAATTCTTTCCCCCAAACACATAAATTAGTTTAGTGGCTCTGTGATATTAATATTAACAGAAACATCATTATAACAGGAGTTTTTAAAAGGAGTTTTTAAAAGATTCACAAAGAGTACGATGTGGTGACATCACCTATGATATTGTCTTTGCAAATACTGGAGCACCCCAAAGAAGTGGGATTTCTCCTGTTTTCTTCTCCTTTACATGAATAAGACGCAACTTATGAACGCAAATAGCCAGCTGTATAAGTATGCAGGTGTTTGTTGGTCTTGCAGTCAAATCACTTTAGAAAATATTCAGCGAATTTAAACCATATTGTTGAACTCATTGACTAGTGTAAGACCAGTGATTTGTTTGTCAATGAAAGCAAGACTAAATAACTAGTTGTGGGTAAACATAATATCTGTCAGCAGTTATCACTGGTTTTCATCAATGATCATCCTGTTGAACTAGTTTAGGAATTTAAATACCTCGGAACCTTTATTGATACCACTTCATGCTTTTCAGCCAATGTGGATTACATTTTTTTTATTTATTTATTCAGTGTGAATGTTTCTTTTGTGCCTTTTTATGTTTTCTTTTAACCTCCACGTGAAGCCAAAAACACATTTTCACATATGTGGACAGTAAATATTAACTTAACTTTGCTCCTGGAACACAGGTATATAAGGTAAGTTCATAAACAAAGTAAAATGCACAAATTGACTGTTCCAAACAAAAAAAAAATTGACTTAACAGTCACAGATGGTCAGCAATGACATTCTTGTGTCCTGAAAATGAAAAGGCTGTCAAGTTGTGAATCCATTACAAAGCATGGTGATCAGTTTCAAGAACAAGCTCTTTATTAATGATCTCACTGTGTCTTCGGCCCATTTAATAGCCAGTTCAATTAAATTCAGTTTAATTTAATTTAATTTAATTTAATTTAATTTAATTCATTTCAAAAATAGTTTATTAATCATTTGCTGAAATTAAATGTTGTTGTAGCTCATATTATCCAGGTTTCTTCAAAGATTTGTTGTAGATGCTGAAGGCTGTGGGCAGGAAGGATCTTTCAGCAGATCTGAAGAAGCCTCTGACTGACGACACCCTGTTGTTGTACAGTAACAGTCTCATGAAGAGGATGCTCAGGGTTCCCCGTAATATTCGTCATTTTATGAAGAGCATTATGTTGCACAATGATCTCCAGAGGTTCCAGGGGAGTCCCCAGAACAGAACCAGCCTTCTTTATCAACTTGTTGAGCTTTTTTAAGTCCCTGGCTCTGATGCTGCTACCCCAACAGATGATGGCAGAAGAGATCACATTCTCCACAACAGACTTATAGAAGATATGCAGCATCTTGCTGCAAACACCGAAGGTTCTAAGCTCCCTCATGAAGTACAGAAAAAAACCCTCTATATGTGAGGAAGGCCCTGCATTCTAGGCGTCTCCAAGTGTGGCACGCTGACCTGGCAAGACTGATACTAAACAGGATTGCCTATTGCCTTTTTTCCACTATCAATTTGCCCCTTTCGATCATGGTAAAAATGGTAAATGGCCTGAACTTGTATAGGACTTTATCAAGTCCCCAGAGACCCCAAAGCGCTTTACACTACAATCAGTCATTCACCCATTCATACACACATTCACACTCTGACACTGGTGAGCCACAATGTTGCCACAGCTGCCCTGGGGCGCACTGACAGAAGTGAGCTACCATACACAGGCGCCACCGAGCCCTCTGACCACCATCAGCAGGCAAGTCTGGTGAAGTGTATTACCCAAGGACACAACGACTGAGACGGACAGAGCGGGGGTTCAAACCGGGAACCCATCGATTACAGGACGAACTCCTACCTGAACCACAGCCACTAATAAAAGGAACGTGTTTCTTGTGTGATCGACAGTTAACAGAGGCAAAATTTATGAGTAAGATTTAAACAGTGTACTTCCAAATAGCCCAGTTAAAGGAACTAAATAACATAAAAAATACATTCCTTCACTCAATCCAACCAGTGAATCAAAGTGCCATAGGTACTCTGTACAATAAAATAATTGCATTATTGATTACTAATAAAATTAACATTCTTGTATATATTGATTAAATGTCAGTCAGTCATTTTCTATACCGCTTAGTGGATCACGGGAAAGCTGGTGCCTATCTCCAGCAGTCTATGGGCGGAAGGCGGGGTACACCCTGGACAGGTCGCCAGTCCATCGCAGGGCAACACAGACACACACAGGACAAACAACCATGCACACACTCATTCACACCTAAGGGCAATGTAGAGAGACCTATTAATCTAACAGTCATGTTTTTGGACTGTGGGAGGAAGCCGGAGTACCCACAAATGCATGGGGAGAACATGCAAACTCCATGCAGAGTCCAGCTGGAACAATACTCTACCAATCCGGTTTCACTTAGCTCTTTGATATGTGGCCCTTTACCACTGAGCAGATGTTATTGGACAAACAATGTAGTGGTCCAAGGCTCTTTGAAAATATGGTTCCAATTTAGGACTCATTTTATTTGCAGGCACTAACTGCATCTCCCATACAGTCAAATATTCATTTCGCCCCATCTTTGATAGAACCCTCTTTCCAACAATGGCATAGAAGAGGCATAAAATGTGTAAGGGACCTTTTCAAAAGAGGCCATTTCATTTCTTTTGAGCAACTGAAAAAAGACTTTGGTGTCCCGCAAACAGACTTTTTCAGGTATCTTCAAGTGTGTAGTTATGTAAAGACCATTTTTTTTATAGCATTGCCCCAAAAATCATGGCTGGATGAATGTTTGGACATGAACCCAATAGGTAAAGGCTTAGTGTCAACCATATATGGCAAGATTCAGCGTGTTGCGTCTCCATCACTTGACCGTTTGAAAAACCTATGGGAAGAAGAACTAGGGGAATCCTTTACAGATGAAGTATAGCAGGCTGCAGTTTCAAGAATTTACTCCTCATCAATCTGCATCAGACATGGCCTGTTGGTAAACCAGCAGTTTATTGGCAAATGAGAATAACACAACAATTTGGATTTACCTAAAAAGATGAACAGAAACAGGGTTAACGAGTTTCTACATAGGCAGCGCCTTCGGTAGCGGCTTAGCCCTTTTCAGAATCAGAATCAGCTTTATTGCCAAGTTTGTACATACAAACAAGGAATTTGACTCCGGTACACTTTGCTCTTTGGTTTTTGTTTTTGCACTACAGAATTACATATTTACAATGTACAAATATACACATATATAAATAAATAAAAAGGTGCATTTGCAACATCTGTATGCTGTTGTTTTGTACTCTATTGAATGTTCAACAGAGAAACAGCCTGAGGGAAGAAACTGTCTCTGTGGTGGCTGGTTTTTAGTGAACAGCGCTCTGTAGCGTCGCCCTGAAGGGGAACTCTAACAGTTTATGTGCAGGGTGTGTGGGGGGTCTGCAGAGATTTTAGCAGCTCTTTCGCTGACCCTTGACCTGTATAAGTCCTGGATGGAGGGAAGGTCAGCCCTGATGATTCTCTCTGCAGTCCTGATTATTCGTTGCAGTCTGGACCTGTCCTGTTTTGTGGATGAACCAAACCACACTGAGATGGATGAAGACAGGACAGACTGAATGATGGCAGTGTAGAAGATAACCAGCAGCTCCTGGGAAGGTTGTAACTTCTTGAGTTGCCTCAGGAAGTACAGTCTCTGCTGGGCCTTCTTTCGAACAGTGGTCTATGTGTGAAGACCATCTCAGGTCCTCAGAGATGGTGGTTCCTAAGAACCTGAAGTGATCCACAGCCGATACAGTGTTGTTGAGGATGGTGAGGGGGTGTATGGGGTCGGTGTTTTCCGAAAGTCCACTACCATCTCCACAGTCTTGGAGTGGGTTTAGTTCCAGGCAGTTCTGACTACACCAGTGTATCAGGCGATCCACCTTCTGTCTGTATGCAGACTCATCCCGTCCTGGATCAGTCCAATGACAGTGGTGTCGTCTGCAAACTTAAGGAGTTTCACGGACGAGTCCGCTGAGGTGCAGTCATTTGTGTACAGGGAGAAGAGGAGTGGGGATAGAACACACCCCTGGGGGGCACCAGTACTTATTGATCTGGTTTGGGAGAAGATGCTCCCCAGTCTCACCTGCTGCTGTCGGTCCATCAGGAAGCTGTTGATCAGGTGGAGGCTGGGACGTTGAGCTGGGTGAGCTTCTGGTGGAGGATGTCTGCTATGATGGTGTTGAAGGCCGAGCTGAAGTCTACAAACAGGATCCTGGCGTAGGTCCCTGGGCGGTCGAGGTGTTGCAGGATGAAGTGTAGACCTAAGTTAACAGCATCATCTGCTGACCTGTTTGCTCGGTAAGCAAACTGCAGGGCGTCCAGTAGAGGGCCTGTGATGTCTTTCAGGTGCTTCAACACCAGCCGCTGAAAGGATTTCATGACCACAGACGTCAGGGCTACAGGCCTGTAGTCATTTAATCCTAGGATGGTGGGTTTCTTGGGCACTGGGATGATGGTGGATCGTTTGAAGCAGGAGGGGACCTCACACTTCTCCAGTGACTTGTTGAAGATCCGGGTGAAGATCGGAGCGAGTTGATTTGCACAGGCTTTCAGGCATGATGGGGAGACGTTATCGGGTCCTCCAGCTTTCTTTGTTTTCATGCGCTGAAACAGCCTATTTACATCATCCTCAGAGATCTTTAGTGCAGGCAGAGGATCTGAAGGTAGGGGGTTGGTTGCTTTACTGGTCGAATTTGTTCCTGAATGGGATGTGGAGGAGTTGGTTTGAGGTGTGAATGGCTTCTTGTCATGTCTGCAGTAGAAGCCATTCAGACGGTTAGCCAGGCGAGGACTTTGTTTAGGAAGGGTGGTGGGGCTTCTGT